ACTCTGCACCGCGAATTACGGCGCCTTAGACGACTGGGCCATCCATACCCCCTTACATCTTCTACCTCATTTCTTCGTCGGTGTGTTGCTTATCAATGTGGAGTCATAGACATTAGTGTGTAATAGTGAGTGAGTGAGTGAGTTGGGTTTAACGCCGCTTTTAACAGTATTCCAGTTATATCACGGCGTGTCAGCTAAATGTGGGAGGAAAGCCCGAAGTGATGCAGGTCTCAGACGTTTACCACTTCGGTGAAAACCACGAGCACGGGTATGGTGCTGACAAACCTAGAAACATAATCGGGGTGAACCGGGATTCGAACCCACAATCATAGGTTTCGGGCGTGCCCAAGGGACGCAACTCTGCACAGCGAATCGCGGCGCCTTAGACGACTGGGCCACCCGTGCCCCCGCCGGTGCGTAATAGACAAACACACCGAACCGTCGTCTTAATAACCGACCGGCCACAACGACGCCGTCAGTCCCCGTGAGGGACGCTGTTGACTGTGATTTGTAACAGATCCCAGGTTTGTAACTGAAATTCTACCATGGCACTGGAGGCACGGAGCTGCCGGCAAAAGAAAATATACACCCATGTTTGATGGTGGCTAAAAAACAAACAAACTAGAAATGGTTATTCGATGGTGATGTATTTGATACGGTTGTCATAGTAGTGTTTTTGATCTTAATGTTGCAGTGTTTCAGCGCCTGTTTTCAGCCAAGTAACGTTTTGATAACGTGTGTAATTTTTTGCTCAGATGCCAATTTCAAATGTAAACTTTCTTTTGCCCGGCAGTTTAAAATTTAAATGAGTGATTTTTAAACTGAGAATCAATTAAGTGATTGTGGTTTTAGGTCGCTTGTAGACCGAAATGGAATTGAACCCGGGTCTTAGGCGTGACGGGCGAACGCTTTAACCACTAGGCTACCCGACCGCCCAGAATCACTTAAGACGTGGGAGAACGTTTGATGATGTGATATTTTAATTGCGATGAAGGCCATTTGAAAACACGTGATACGATGACAAGGTGATCGTCTCATACTCTCTGTGGGTGTAGGGGGACGGGGATGGGGGTGATCTGGTGATGGTTGGGGAATCGGGGTTGGGGGTGGGGGTGGGGATGGGTTGTGTGGTGATGGGGAGATGGGGGTGGGAATGGATCAGTGGATTTCTGGATGTCTAGGATAGATGGTCAACAGGTTCACACATGGTTAAGATTAACCAGCAATAACGACAGCTCTAACACAGATGGAGACATTCATTCGTGAGGGCATTGTCACACCCAGGTGGAGGAGTACTCCGGCTTATGTGAGTGAGTGAGTATGGTTTAACGCCGCTGTTATTCTAGCAATATCACAGCAGGGTACACCACAAATGGGCCTCACACATTGTACCCATGTCGGGAATCGAACCCGGGTCTTCGGCATGAATGGCGAACGCTTTAACCACTAGGCTACCCGACCGCTCCGGGGGATACCGGAAATGGGCTTCACACATTGTACCCATGTCGGGAATCGAACCCGGGTCTTCGGCGTGACGAGCGGACGCTTTAACCACTAGGCTACCCGACCGCCCCTTCAAGCTTAAGACGAGACAGCGGAGCTTCACCAGATCTGTGATGAACGATCAGAGTTTCCGTAACAAAAATAATACAAAACTGTTTTTGTTTTTTGAAACATATACAGAGAATAGAACTCCAATGGCTCTCATTCCTCCGGTGCAATTTGGGAAGAAAATATATTTTTTATAATCTTGCTATTGCCGTTTGGCCGAACACCCGTTAATCCACACGGAGGTCCGGAATATTCCGGATCTTCATGGATTCATAGTATGGACACAGATATGTCGTTCGTTAGATTCATGTGTGACCCAATTGGGACAGTCAGGTTCTAGTCGCATGTTTGTTTGTTTGTTTGTTTGTTTAACGCTGCACACAGCAATATTCCAGCTATATGACGGCGGTCTGTAAATAATCGAGTCCGGACCAGACAATCCCGTGATTGACATAATGAACATCGATCCACGCAATCGATGACATGCATCAACTAAGTCAGCGAGCCTGACCACCCGATCCCGTTAGTCGCGTCCCAGAATATTGCACGTATAAAGCGACGTGCGCGTGTGTGCGTGTGCTTGCGCTTGTGCTTGTGCTTGTGCTTGTCCAGACGAATGCCGGTATCATAGTGATAGCCCACTGAGGTATCATGCCGCAGTTTAACATGAATACTCCACTCAGACACAGTACATTGACTTCGAGACGACCTAATAAGGCCGAGCGTTAAAGATGGTATAACATATTCGTGTCAACCAAGACAACGGTAAATCACTTTCATACGAAGGTGCACCAGATGTTGATTTGTGAAACGTTCTCTGATTGGACAATCGATATGTGCGATAATCCAATCATATTTAGCACAGGAAAGTGGGCTTGGTGTGGCAAGGGTGGAAACAAGACTTTGATAAAAAAGGCTGGTGGACGCTCTTGTCTCGGGAGGATGTTTGAAAAGTCGATATGACTGTACATGAGATGGGCCAAGCACCGTTCTGAACAACATGTCAGTCATTTCGTGGCGCGTCAGCTTCATGTGGGATGAAAGCGCAAAGTCACGCAGGAAACGTGAATCAAACCTACACACAGCGGACCCTGGCGTAACTAAGGGAGGCAACTCTGCACATGGAATAACGGTTTCTTTGAGCAAAGGCCCCAATGCCCCGAATGTACATGAAGTACGCTGGTCGACTTGAAATAGTCCTGAATTGTTTCCATTGAGTGAGTGAGTTGGGTTTAACGCCGCTTTTAACAGTATTCCAGTTATATCACGGCGTGTCAGCTTAATGTGGGAGGAAAGCCCGAAGTGATGTAGGTCTCAGACGTTTGCCACTTCGGTGAAAACCACGAGCACGGGTATGGTGCTGACAAACCTAGAAACATAATCGGGGCGAATCGGGATTCGAACCAACAATCATAGGTTTCTGGCGTGCCCAAAGGAAGCAACTCTGCACAGCGAATCGCGGCGCCTTTGACGACTGGGCCACCCGTGCCCTCTGAATTGTTTCCAAATAATTATTCTTTGAAGAAAGTGATCTTTTTCATTTGATATAATTAATGACGAAAAACATATATCATCACCGTCAAACTTAAAACTTAAAATATTATAATCCACATCGGAGCTGATGAATCGACATAACAACTACAATATAAAACACATGTTACTTGACGTATGTCTGAGCTGTCGGGATGTACACTTGTGAGAAACACATCGATGAGAAAATGTGTGTTCATAGGAAGAAGCCGAATGTGATTCCACAGGGAATAATTGTGCAGGATATACTAAATATATCTCCCGATTATATAATATATACACATTCTAAATTCAGGTAGGAAAATACAACTGAAGCCAGAATCTCTCCTTAGTGAGAGGTTGCGGTTTACCAATATGGTCACATTAATACTAAAATAATTACCCAGCATGCTCCCCCTCAGGCAGCCAACATGCCCTTGACCTTGATCTTAGATACACAATAATGAGAAATCGCGAATAAAAAATAGGTTCACCAAAAATATCTTACAAGCTTTTAAGATGAGGAACAACTAAACGTAAAAACTGTCATGGGGAGGGGAGGGGCGGGGGGATGGATGGGGGCGGGGGAGGGTTCTGACATTACAATACAAATACTCGGAATTTCTTTATTAAGAATAATTTAAAAAACAAAAACAAAAACAAAAAAGACCTGATCTATTTCTGTAGAAATTAGGCCATTTTAATGATATTAAATTTGTATGCTATAAAATATTTATTGTACCAGATATTATGTTATAGTACCATAGTTTCCGTTCACAGGGACAACATCAAATATATCAACTTTGTAATATAAAAAAACAAGCTTTCCATAACAGCTCTGTGTATCCCAGACCAAGGTATTTAAGAGGCATCAGGTACTGCCCCTGACTATCGAGGATGATGCTGGCACATATTACATATCACAATTGAATGTGTACCATTATACACAGATATGCCCTGAGATCTAACTCATTGTTTACAACATAGAGTTGCCTTGTTTCAATACATCAAAATGTATAAAAGTAACTTAGATGACGGTCATACCAATTAAAACACTTCAGAAAACCTGCGCTAGAAGACTATAGACTAAAACTCTACAGTCGCGCAAAACTAGGAGACTCCACCGTGACCGCTACATCTTGGTTTAACTTTCCAATGATTTCTTTCTTTATTGTTATTGGTCACATGAATAACAACAATCATTATAGCAATCATCATACATACAGGAAAACGTCGATCTTGAACAATATGGCGTATTGATTTGTGTATGGTTGCCGAAATTTGTTTCACTTCATTTGTTAACATGATTTGAAAAACATCTTGGGGCAAACCATTTGATATTCTGTTCCAGAAAATACTGGTCAAGGTTTACTAGATGAAATACATCGTTCATCGATATGCTACACAGTTTCAAAAACGCTATTATTAAAATGGTATAGGTCCTAAACGTGTTTAACCCCCCCCCCCCGCCCCCCCCCCCCCCCCCGTGGATAACCCCAAAGGACATTAAATAGTCGTTTTTTGTTTCTGATTAAAATCAGTATGTTCACTATGAAATAAATGTTTTCACCTGTTCGCGATTCTAAAATGTTTTACAATAGATTCCAACACAAACCGTCTGTGTGTGACGTCACGCCCCTGCTCGCGGAGCCGTGTAAGGTCATTGACATTAAGATGGGGGTACATGGTACATGGGTGTGGTGGAAAGTGTATGATTGATCGTGTTAGGTATGACGACCTCATAGAAAATCACATATAAAATGTACAAAATATCGAGATCATTAATCCCTATGAGATAAAAGACTCCCCTATTTCTCTTCATGGGTCATGCCAATAAGACCACGTGACCACGTGTGCCATTCCGGGCCGAGCCGATTCACTTGTCACCAGTCACAGCTTTCCGTAACCTACAAGAACAATGGGCTCGTTTTTGAACGACGTTATTACGAATGATGCCGAATGACGCCGAATGACGCCGAATGGCCCCGATATGTCACGGAAAGTCGCGAACTGGGTTGATGGCACATGTAGATGACCAATGACGTCATCAGACGCTGTTCATGGCGTCCTCCATGGTGAGTGTTTCCGGCCGGGGGCTTGAAGGTCCAAGCTGCTCAGTAGCGTCAATGAAGATGTCCTCGTACATCTCTTCTGGCTTGGATCTGAGACAGGGCAGGTGCAGCATCAAGTGACACACCGCACCCCCTAGCAGGAGGGCACCGCCCATGTAGAATGAGGGGTCGTAGTTCCCAGTCGCGTCGAACACAAAACCTAAACACAAACAGGGACTATGAAGTTTTTTCTGCAGTGCTATTTTGCAGAAATACAGGTATGGCCGAGCTATACATAAACTATTATCACATATTCATGTAAGAATGATGAGATATAATTGGTCCACGTGATCTTGATAAATACTGTGTAACCCGCCTTGGAGAGTAATACATTTCTCAGCGGAAAAAACGTAGGTCTACGATCACTATACACGAAGGTTAACGCGAGTACGGGATAACGGAGGTCTACGATCACTATACACCAAGGTTAACGCGAGTACGGGATAACGGAGGTCTACGATCACTATACACCAAGGTTAACGTGAGTACGGGATAACGGACGTCAACGATCACTATACACCAAGGTTAACGTGAGTACGGGATAACGGACGTCTACGATCACTATACACGAAGGTTAACGCGAGTACGGGATAACGGACGTCAACGATCACTGTACACGAAGGTTAACGCGAGTACGGGATAACGGACGTCTACGATCACTATACACCAAGGTTAACGCGAGTACGGGATAACGGACGTCAACGATCACTGTACACGAAGGTTAACGCGAGTACGGGATAACGGACGTCTACGATCACTATACACCAAGGTTAACGCGAGTACGGGATAACGGAAGTCTACGATCACTATACACGAAGGTTAACGCGAGTACGGGATAACGGAGGTCTACGATCACTATACACCAAGGTTAACGTGAGTACGGGATAACGGACGTCTACGATCACTATACACCAAGGTTAACGTGAGTACGGGATAACGGACGTCTACGATCACTATACACCAAGGTTAACGCGAGTACGGGATAACGGAGGTCTACGATCACTATACACGAAGGTTAACGCGAGTACGGGATAACGGAGGTCTACGATCACTATACACGAAGGTTAACGCGAGTACGGGATAACGGAGGTCTACGATCACTCTCCACGAAGGTTAACGTGAGTACGGGATAACGGACGTCTACGATCGCTATACACCAAGGTTAACGCGAGTACGGGATAACGGACGTCTACGATCACTATACACGAAGGTTAACGCGAGTACGGGATAACGAACGTCTACGATCACTATACACGAAGGTTAACGCGAGTACGGGATAACGAACGTCTACGATCACCATACACGAAGGTTAACGCGAGTACGGGATAACGGACGTCTACGATCACTATACACGAAGGTTAACGCGAGTACGGGATAACGGAGGTCTACGATCACTATACACCAAGGTTAACGCGAGTACGGGATAACGGAGGTCTACGATCACTATACACCAAGGTTAACGCGAGTACGGGATAACGGAGATCTACGATCACTATACACCAAGGTTAACGCGAGTACGGGATAACGGACGTCTACGATCACTATACACGAAGGTTAACGCGAGTACGGGATAACGGAGATCTACGATCACTATACACCAAGGTTAACGCGAGTACGGGATAACGGAGGTCTACGATCACTATACACCAAGGTTAACGCGAGTACGGGATAACGAAGGTCTACGATCACTATACACGAAGGTTAACGCGAGTACGGGATAACGGACGTCTACGATCACTATACACGAAGGTTAACGCGAGTACGGTCTAACGAACGGCTATCTATCTATCTATCTATCTATCTATCCATCCATAGAGGCTATTGGAGGTTCCTGCTAACAGATGTCTATCATTCCTACACACAATGGCTAAGTGATTGCTAGCAAAGGCCTATCATTCCCATACACAGAAGCTAGGGGTAGTACCTGATACCGGAGGCCTATTAACTCTATACATACAGGTTAACGGAAGTACCGGCTAACGGAGACCTCTGATCACGGTAAGCAGAGACTAAGTAGCTGCTAACGGGCTATCAATCTTATACGTAGAGGGCAATGGAAGTACCTCAAACGGTGGTCTATCAGCCTAAATTAACGTGTACATCCATACTAATAGACGCACCTGCTAATGGCGGTCTATCAGCCTAAAATTACGTGTACAAGCACACTAATGGACGCACCTGATACGGCGGTCTATTAACCTAAATATACGTGGACATGCACACTAATGGACACACCTGAAACGGCGGCCTATCAACCTAAATATACGTGTACATGCACACTAATGGACGCACCTGAAACGGCGGCCTATCAACCTAAATACACGTGTACATGCACACTAATGGACGCACCTGAAACGGCGGCCTATCAACCTTAATTTACGTGTAAATGCACACCTATGGACGCACCTGCTAACGGAGGTCTACCTGCCTACATTAAAGTGTACATGCATACTAATGGACGCACCTGCTAACGGCGGTCTATCAACCTAAATATACGTGTTCATGCACACTAATGGACGCACCTGAAACGGCGGCCTATCAACCTAAATATACGTGTACATGCACACTAATTGACGCACCTGCTAATGGCGGTCTATCAATCTCAATTTACGTGTACAAGCACACTAATGGACGCACCTGCTAACGGCGGTCTATCAACCACAATTTACATGTACAAGCTCACTAATGGACCAACCTGCTAACGGAGGTCTACCTGCCTACATTAAAGTGTACATGCATACTAATGGACGCACCTGAAACGGCGGCCTATCAACCTACATATACGTGTACAAGAACACTAATGGACGCATCTGCTAACGGCGGTCTATCAACCACAATTTACATGTACAAGCACACTAATGGACGCACCTGAAACGGCGGCCTATCAACCTGAATTTACATGTACAAGCACACCAATGGACGCACCTGCTAACGGCAGCCTATCAACCACAATTTACATGTACATCGACACTAATGGACGCACCTGCTAACGACGGCCTATCAACCTGAATTTACATGTACAAGCACACCAATGGACGCACCTGCTAACGGCAGCCTATCAACCACAATTTACATGTACATCGACACTAATGGACGCACCTGCTAACGACGGCCTATCAACCTGAATTTACATGTACAAGCACACCAATGGACGCACCTGCTAACGGCAGCCTATCAACCTAAATATACGTGTACATGCACACTAATGGACGCACCTGCTAACGACGGCCTATCACCCTAAATTTACGTGTACATCCACACTAATGGACGCACCTGCTAACGACGGCCTATCAACCTGAATTTACATGTACAAGCACACCTATGGACGCACCTACTAACGGCAGCCTATCACCCTAAATTTACGTGTACATCCACACTAATGGACGCACCTGCTAACGGCAGCCTATCAACCTAAATATACGTGTACATGCACACTAATGGACGTATCTGCTAACGGCAGCCTATCAACCTTAATTTACGTGTACAAGAACACTAATGGACGCACCTGTTAACGGCGGTCTATCAACCACAATTTACATGTACAAGCACACTAATGGACGCACCTGCTAACGGAGGTCTACCTGCCTACATTAAAGTGTACATGCATACTAATGGACGCACCTGCTAACGGCGGCCTATCAACCTCAATTTACGTGTACATGCACACTAATGGACGCATCTGCTAACGGCGGCCTATCAACCTCAATTTACATGTACATGCACACCAATGGACGCATCTGCTAACGGCGGCCTATCGACCTGAATTGACATGTACATCGACACTAATGGACGCACCTGCTAACGACGGCCTATCGACCTAAATTTACATGTACAAGCACACTAATAGACGCACCTGCTACCGACGGCCTATCGACCTGAATTTACATTTACAAGCACACCAATGGACGCACCTGCTAACGGCGGCCTATCAACCTAAATATACGTGTACATCCACACTAATGGACGCACCTGCTAACGGCGGCCTATCAACCTAAATATACGTGTACATGCACACTAATGGACGCACCTGTTAACGGCGGCCTATCAACCACAATTTACATGTACAAGCACACTAATGGACGCACCTGCTAACGGCGGCCTATCAACCACAATTTACATGTACAAGCACACTAATGAACGCACCTGCTTACGGCGGCCTATCAACCACAATTTACATGTACAAGCACACTAATGAACGCACCTGCTAACGGCGGCCTATCAGCCACAGTTTACATGTTCAAGCACACAAATGGACGCACCTGCTAACGGCGGTCTATCAGCCTACATTTACATGAACAAGCCCACTAATGGACGCACCCGCTAAGGGCGGCCTCTCAACCTAAATTTACGTGGACATGAACACCAATGGACGCACCTGCTAACGGAGGCCCGGCCACCGCGGCGAAGCCTCGGAACATGGTGAGAAGTCCGAAGCCGTTGGTCAGTTTCTCCAGCCCCAGTTGGTCGCAGATGAGGATGGAGGACAATGAGATGAATGCCCCTGGGAAGAAACAGGAGGCGGTTAGAAAAAACCCCGGAAGCTTTGTAATATTTCAAACGGAAATGAGCTTCGATAATTCAGTGTCGAAGAGACTGCATGACTTCTACCGTCTTCTTATCTCTGGCCAATATGACAGTACAGTAAACTACGCTTATAACGAACTCAAAGGGACTACTAATTTTAGTTCGTTATAACCGTAGTTTGTTATGAGCATATATATAGCATAACTACAGCAAATAGTCGGGACTAAAAAGTAAGTTTGTTATATTCGTCAGTTCGTTATAAGCGTGTTCGTTATAACCGGAGTTTAGTGTATAAAAATTACGAGTTGTTCTGTGGCATTTGATTCGAATTCTATGGAATCCTAGAAAGGACATTTCCGTATTGTCGCGTTGTTACAAAAACAAGTAAAATATGGGAAAATTGACCAAAGCGCGACAATGCGTTATCTTGACAATTTCGAAATTTCGCGCTTCGAAACATATCATACATTTTGCCAAAGGGTCACAATGAGCCCACGCCACATTTTCTAGGTTCAAATATGTGGAAAAGGGCACTAAAATGCTCGACAACGCGGCAAGTAACTTGACCCTCTTTCTAAAAATGTCACTTCAACAAAAACATACTGCACAAAACTATTATGCTATTAGTGAAGTACGTGTGACAGTGTAAGCCCTCTGTGTGTGTACGTGGGGCGGTGGGATAGCCTGGTGGTTAAAGCGTTCGCTTGTTACGCTGTAGACCCGGGTTCGATTCCCCACTTGGGCCCAAATAAATGTGTGATGCCAATTTCTGGTGTCCCTCGCCGCGATAATGCTTGAATGTTGCTAAAAGCGGCGTAAAACCATACTCACTCACTCACTCACTGTGTGTATGTGTAGTGACCACCACTTGCGACGTGTGTTGGGATGCTTAACGATAGTTGGTTACTAATATGAAGCACATGGCCTTAAAGTGTTAAGCTTTAAATGTGAAATCTGAAATAAAATTTTAGTCACATGCCATTAATATAGTTTGTAATTCTTAGTCATATTGTAAAAGGTGACTGCGCCACGCTGTGGTGCAAATTACCATTGCATATATAAACGCTGACATCAGCACCATGTGTAAAACAAGGCATTATCTGTGTACTCCAAGGGGAATAACTCCAACATTGTTATGAAACAAACCGTTTTGAAACGACTTGACTAATACATTTTGCCCGAGAATAACCCCTCTTAAAGTTTGTTTGTTATTTAACGCTGCACCCAGCAATATTCCAGCAAAATGTAAATAGGTCTGTAAATAATTTTGACGACAATTCCAGTCATTGACATCATGAGCATCGACTTACGCAATTTGGATACGATGACATGCATCAACCAATTTAGCGAGCCTGACCACCCGATCCCGTTAGTAGCCTCTTACGACAAGCATAGTCGCCTTTAACGGCAAGCATGGGTTGCTGAAGACCTATTCTAACCCGGATTTCCTCGCCCCTCTTTAACTGTTCGTGGTGATCCATTTGAACACCCACAATTCAGCTTGCGTCTCGAACAGAAAACTAAAATGTTAATCGGGTGGCCACAATGGTTCCTGACTTGTTTAACGTTAACGTGGTACAATACAACTGACAACGACGTTAACATGATGTATGCCTTACCGATGCCGGCTCCAAATATGGCCGACATGACGACAAGAGCTGGGTATGAACTTCCACAGAATGGCATGACGATTGTAGCCACCGCTGCTATCACCATGGAGACGTTGTTCACGACCAGGGCGTCTACCCTTGGTAAGTCCGCTAACCACCCGGCCAAGATCCGCCCAATTGTATTCGTGATACCTGGCAGAAAACAGAAATTGTCTTGAGACTTACTAGTGTTAAAAGGTAAAGCTTTGGATTACAAAAAAACATGATGATTTTGTTTGTTTGTTGTTTAACGCCGCACTCCGCAATATTATATCACGGCGGTCTGTTAATAATCTGGACCAGGCAATCCAGTGATTGACATCATGAGCATCGACTTACGCATACCATGACACGCATCAACCAAGTTACCGAGCCTGACCTCCCGATCCTGTTATTCGCCTTTTACGACAAGCATAGATGCCTTTTACGGCAAGCATGGGATGCTGGACCCGACTCTTACCCTGATCCGCACCGGTAAAAAATAACATGGTGTAATACAAATAATTTTATAACGGTAAAACTTTTACGAATGAAACAAACAATAAATGGTTATTAGATGGCGATGTATTTGATACGGATATCACAGTTGTGATTCAGCGACTGTTTTCAGTCTCGTAACGTTTTGATAATGTTTGTAATTGTTTAGATAATTCCAATTTTCAAGTGTATAGTTTCTATTGCCCGGCAGTATATTTCCAACCACCATATTGTCTCCGTGATTTTCAGGCAGTAATAATGGCGACTACGCTGCAAAACAATCCTAGCTCTCTCTCTCTCTCTCTCTCTCTCTCTCTCTCTCTCACACACACACACACACACACACACACACACACACACACACACACACCGTGAAGATCCGGGGTAGAATAGGTCTTCAGCAACCAATGCTTGCCGTAAAAGGCGACTATGCTTGCCGTATGAGGCGACTAACGCTATTGGGTGGTCAGGCTCACTGACGTGGTTGATGCATGTCATCGTATCCCAATTGCGTGGATCGATGCTCATTATGTTAATCACTGGATTGTCTGGTCCAGACTCGATTATTTACAGACAGCCGTCATATAGCTGGAATATTGCTAGGTGCGGCGTTAAGCAACAAACAAACAAACACGAAACACACACGCACACTCGTTACATCTGACAACCCCCCTATTTTCACTACAAGACAATTTATACACAACTGGTTTGTCAGCAACATACCCCTGCTCCCGGGTTTCATCAGAAACCTATGATTGTGGGTTCGAATCCCGGTTCGCCCTGATAATGTTTCTAGGTTTGTCAGCACCATACCCGTCATCGTGGGTTTCACCGAAGTGGTAAACGTCTGAGACCTGCATCACTTCGGGCTTTCCTCCCACATTAATCTGACACGCCGCGATATAACTGGAATACTGTTAAAAGCGGCGTTAAACCCGACCCACTCACTCACTCATAACTGAAATCAGGTGAAATCATTCCCGAACTCAGTGCGGCGTGACACCTGGTCTACTGGGCTACCCACATACACACCACGTGACATACCTATGATAGATACAAGGAAGGCAGCTTCGCTCTTGGGAATCCCCTCCAACATAGCTCTGTCGACGATGTACACAAAGCGTTAAGCAACAAACAAACAAACACGAAACACACACGCACACTCGTTACATCTGACAACCCCCCTATTTTCACTACAAGACAATTTATACACAACTGGTTTGTCAGCAACATACCCCTGCTCCCGGGTTTCATCAGAAACCTATGATTGTGGGTTCGAATCCCGGTTCGCCCTGATAATGTTTCTAGGTTTGTCAGCACCATACCCGTCATCGTGGGTTTCACCGAAGTGGTAAACGTCTGAGACCTGCATCACTTCGGGCTTTCCTCCCACATTAATCTGACACGCCGCGATATAACTGGAATACTGTTAAAAGCGGCGTTAAACCCGACCCACTCACTCACTCATAACTGAAATCAGGTGAAATCATTCCCGAACTCAGTGCGGCGTGACACCTGGTCTACTGGGCTACCCACATACACACCACGTGACATACCTATGATAGATACAAGGAAGGCAGCTTCGCTCTTGGGAATCCCCTCCAACATAGCTCTGTCGACGATGTACACAAAGGGGACGTAGAAGCCGAGGAACGCGAGGACGTTCCCGAAGCACAGGAGATCAAAACTGACCCCCTTCAGAAGGGACAAGTCCATCATTTCTTGCAGAGTGTCCTTAGCTGGTTTGGGAATGCACGTGCAAAACTGCCACACGGGGGATTCTTTGCCAGGTGCGATCTCGCCGGGAATCGTCGTTATGCTGGTGATGTAACTCCTCACATCCGGCTGAGACCGGAACTGGGGAATATTCAAAACACTTCCGCTATAAAATATGTCCTTCCGGTACAAAGGTCGAGCAAAGTCTTCTTTTGAAGCGTGAAGGCTCCTGTGGGAGGCGATTAAAGATTTGGCCGACTTGCCAACGTAGCCGTGGGTCCCGTTCTGATTCATCTTGACGACCTTCCCTTCTGGAACATTAAGTAACGGGATCGCTTCATGTGTACTGTGAATACCGTTAGGTAAACTCCCGTTATTGCAATTCTTGATAACCACAGAACTCTTCTTGTTTTCCAGGTCAGTGTCAATTGGCCTCGATTTGGGTATTCCTTCTTCGGGGCTGCTGGGGGAGCTAATCTCAGGCGGGGAGTTTGCGGGAGAGGTGGGGGGAGTGGCATACTCAGACGGCTCCGTCGCCGTGCCGTCCCCCACAGCTGACTCCGTTGTCAGAGACAGCCTTGCTTCATCGTTTGGAACAGGAACAACTTCGTTGTCTTGCACCACGATCTTGGGGACACTCCCCGGACTCTCGGCATGGCTAGTCGTGTCGCCTGCATGACTTGTCGCATCTCCCTGGTGGCTAGCTACGTCGCCCCGGTCGGACAATGACAGTTTGTGTATCCGCGCATCCCGGGAGCCCTGTCTCGCCTTGATGAAGATCATACTGGGTAAGGATCCGACCTCCGAGTCATCTTCCAGCTGCTTCTCCCGTAACAGCTTCGCCTCCATCACTCTCTCTAGTATGCTGTTGTTGTCGCGTACGCTGTATGCGTACGCACTGCATTCAGACTCTGAACGGAAACGTTTGGATTTAGCTTGTTCTTTGATTCGGTCCATCATGTTTTTGGCTCGAGGCCTTTTCTTCTTGGGCTTTTGAATGACTTCTAGTGGTCTCATCAGCATGCCGCATACGGCACACTGGAGAATTATTCCCGCGATGATCATGAGGGCGCTCTTCCAATCGTATTCGTCCAGAAGGAATTTGGAAAGAGGTGCGAAAATAAACGTGCCTATTCCGGAACCGCAGACCGCGATACCGGTTGCCAGTGCGCGCTTCTTCTCGAAGTAGTACCCCACGCTGACGATAGACGGCAGGTAGATCATGCCGAGCCCAAATCCTGAAATGTAGAAGAGTATTATATGTTAGAATATATATACTCACCACCAAAATAAACGCAAACCACAGAAACATATAGAGAAGTATGTACGTTGAGAATAGATGTTTCTAATCTGTACCACTTAATGAGAAACTAACAAGCAGTCAAGTGTTACCACAGAGTGTCTTTATTCCCCTCACCATATCTTATCTGCAGGTGATTTCCAAACTTTGCACTCTAATCATGCACGAGACAAATGGTGCTGCCATGGATCTATGACGTCACATGTGATGCGTTCATGAGCATAGACCCACACAACATACCAGTATGTTCGTTTGTGCATCAAAGCAATCAAATATCTTTTTAATATGAGTAATTCGTATATTAGCAACATGTCTGGCGATTGAGAAAACAAACAAAGAATGTGCTTTTTAGCGATTCTCTAGGCTGATTAACCAATTGATACAATACATTAAGTGGTATAATGCAGTCAAACTTTCTGACGTTTCTCAATGTAAACTGAAACACCGAGTTCAAGGTTAAAGGATCTAAATGTTCAGAAGGAACGCTTCTGTGTGTATTCGTGCTGGGGAATTCCCAGGGGTTTTCCCGGGAATGTGGAAGTATTCCGTCAGTGTTTACGTCATTTCAAGAACAAATAAACGTCAAATTGTGTCGTCCATACAATTATAAACGACAATTTTGCCGTCATGTGACCGACACCTCGTCCAATGGAAAAGCCGTATATCGTAAACGTCAAATTAAAAAATTATAACAAAGTGACGACATCCATTGTTAATGACATAACACATAAGATACGTTACGTAAGAAACACGATTGAATTTATTGTAGATGCAGTAGTAAAATAAGCCTGAGAGCCTGGTGGTTAAAGCGTTCGCTCGTCACTCCGAAGACCCGGGTTCGATTCCCAACATCGGTACAATGTGTGAAGCCCCTTTCTGGTGTCCCCCGCCGTGATATTGCTGGAATATTGCTAAAAGCGGCGTAAAACCATACTCACTCAGTCACTCCTTAATGTACTTCAATGATAGACACATGGACAGATGGAAGACTCATGCTAACGCTATCGCTGAATCGTTAAACACTTCACTGGTCTCCGTGGCCTAGTGGATAGAGCGTCCGCACCGAGAGCGAAGGTCGTTGGTTCGCTCTCCGGCCGCGTCATACTAAAGGACGTGTAAAGATTGACTTGTTGTTTCCCTGCCTTGCGCTCTGCATTAAGGAGATAAAACAAGGGCTGGTCGGCTCAGAGTCAGTGTACTTTGTCTGAGAGGGGTATTCATGTTAAACTGCGGCATGGCTATCACTATAAAATCTGCATTGGCCTGGACTTGTTGGCTAGTATTAGCAGCCACATACACGTGCATGCACGTCACTCCATTGGTCATCTAACCTACACACTTCTCACATCAGATACGTCGACGTACCTCCCATCACGCCGTAGGTCACCATGAGGATGTTGACCGACTGAGCTCCCATGCTGAGGAGGAATGACGTCGCGGCGATGACGCTACCGCACGTGGCCACAGCTCGACAGCCGAACCTGTTGGTCAGCGCACTGACGATTGGTCCTGGAAAAAAACGCAGGGTGTAAATATTGCTTCATATAACATGTGAAAATTGCCTAATTTCATCTGTGAATATTGCGTCATTTAAAGGGTAAATATTGTTTCAAATGATATGTGAATATTGCTTCATTTAACATGTGAATATTGCTTCATTTAACATGTGAATATTGCTTCATATAACATGTGAATATTGCTTCATTTAACATGTGAATATTGCTTCATTTAACATGTGAATATTGCTTCATATAACATGTGAATATTGCTTAATTTCATCTGTGAATATTGCGTCATTTAACGGGTAAATATTGTTAAAAATGATATGTGAATATTGATTAATTTAACATGTGAACATTGCCTCATTTAACATGTGAATATTGCTTCATTTAACATGTGAATATGGCTTCATATAACATGTGAATATTGCTTAATTTCATCTGTAAATATTGCGTCATTTAACGGGTAAATATTGTTACAAATGATATGTGAATATTGCCTCATTTAACATGTGAATATTGCTACTCCTGTAACCGTTTAAAGAACTTGGTCCTAAGTACCGGATTCCCTCCAATAAAAGATGGGTAAACCCAGAGTCCCTGCAGTCCCTCACATTAGACACCCGTTTCTCTCAAAAAAGATGAGGTAAACTGAAACAGTATTCAGTATATTATCTCAGACACCCGATTGCCTATCAAAACGGCTTAAAGGTATTCACGATGGACCATGTCTTCCAATACATTGATAGGCTGAGCTGCGTGTTACGAATGAGAGTTAAAGTTGACGTTTACAGAAATCCAGCACAACAACGCACAACAACGCCACCACTGAACGGAGCTCTTTGAACGGAATTCCGGGAAGTCAATCGTTTACACAAACAATGGATATCCGAGACTGTGTGACCTTCACCCTTTCAGCCATCTTGAATCACAGACAAGGGCGCCATATTTGATTTAAGAGGTATACCTCTTACGAATTTTTTTGAATTTTTTAATTGACGACCAAATGAATTGATTTGGCTCTACGCACACAGTCACAAGCCCATCAGTTCATACAAACAGATGCAGTCGGGTTGAATGTGGCTTGGAGCGGCTTAAAGTGGTGTGTTCACTATGGGGGTTGGGAGGTGGGGGGTGTGGGGTGGGGTGGGGGTGTTTGGTTTTGGGAATGTTGGATTTGGGGATGGGTTGATTGTGAATTGTTGATTTGTGTTGATTGTGAATTGTTGATGTGGTGGAGTTGGGGGTGGGATGAGTTATGCAGGGGCAGGGCTGTGTTGAGGGTGGGTGTTGAGATGGGAGTCGTGGGACACGATTAGGTGATATCGTTGTACTGACATGAGATCTGGCGCCGGTGTACTGACATGAGATCTGGCGCCGGTGTACTGACATGAGATCTGGCGCCGGTGTACTGACATGAGATCTGGCGCCGGTGTACTGACATGAGATCTGGCGCCGGTGTACTGACATGAGATCTGGCGCCGGTGTACTGACATGAGATCTGGCGCCGGTGTACTGACATGAGATCTGGCGCCGGTGTACTGACATGAGATCTGGCGCCGGTGTACTGACATGAGATCTAGCGCCGGTGTACTGACATGAGATCTGGCGCCGGTGTACTGACATGAGATCTGGCGCCGGTGTACTGACATGAGATCTGGCGCCGGAGTACTGACATGAGATCTGGCGCCGGTGTACTGACATGAGATCTGGCGCCGGTGTACTGACATGAGATCTGGCGCCGTTGTTCTGACATGAGATCTGGCGCGGTGCGGTGTGGTGCGCGCCAGTGTGAAATATATGCTATTGGGTATAATGCGCTGCGGGTTGGGGTGGGGGTTGCTCGGTGCACTAGGAGTTTTGAGCTTTAGCTATGAAAAAATATTATTAATTTCTAAAGTGTTGTTCCAAACAATGGGAGTTGACAAGCAGCCTCGACGGTGACGCTACTGGGTTTGTGGAGTATAAATAAACTCTACATCATGCGTCGTCACAATCCAACCGAACAACCCCACAGGTCGACGCGGCCCACGCCTCGCAATACAAGGATATAAATAAAAATTTGAGCCACTTAAACAGCTTTCATCAACAAACGTGTATTCAAATACAGGCAGATACTACAGACTATGTGAGCTGTTAACATAGACTGACGAAAACAGCACTGAATGAAAAGGCACTAAGGTAGACGGACATTCAATGGCTCACCTTATACAGTTGCCTTTTTCTCAGGAAATGGATTAAATATTTACGAACTTCTGTTTAAATAGACAAGCCGCGGTTGGCCATGGTGTAAGTCGACACTCTCCCAGCGCACTCATCAACACTCACTTCCTCCCAGATAAATAATTAATGCGTCTTCATTTTATGGCTAAGTCATGGTGATAGCAAGGTAGAGTCGACCTTCGCAGTCACCTCCCCGAGTAGGGCCTGTTTTGGGAAAGCTTACGCTCGTCACGTCGAAGGCACGGGTTACACTCCCAACATGGGTACAATGTGAGAAGCCCATTTCTGGGGTAGAGCCTACCCGACCACCCACTCCCTCCAGAGGGTAGGGCCTACCCGACCACCACTCCCTCCAGAGGGTACGGCTTACCCGAACACCCACTACCTCCAGAGGGTACGGCTTACCCGAACACCCACTCAATCCAGGGGGTAGGGCCTACCAGACCACCCACCCTCTCCAGGAGGCCTACCCGACCACCCACTACCTCTAGAGGGTACCCAGATATAATAATACCCAGAGGTTCGGCCTACCTGCTGTGAGATATGTTCCACACAGTAACGATCCCACCAATGCCACTGTGCTCTTCTTCTCTTTAAAGAAATCAACGAATTCGAGCAGAAAGATGCCAAAGCTGTATCCAATACCGTCCACAACGATGTTGCAGACGAGGGAGCTCGCCACAATGACCCAACCCCACCCTCCGTCAGGGGGGGTCGGGATGTAGTCACTGTCGGTGGAATTGGAGGAGTCCGTGGACTCGTGTCTCTTCCGGGGGTCTGCCATGACGGTCCTCCGGGTGGTCCGACGAATGCTCTGGGTGTGGTCCTGTAGGGGAAAACACCGGCCCCTCAGTGAAGGATCTCAGGCAAGGATGCAACTCTCTTCGTCCATACCCTCGAGTCTGGAAAGGTGATGAAAGGTAACATCAAATAGTGGATAATAGTGGATAATAGCGGGAATTAGTGAGAAATAGTAGCAACTGGTAAGAAATAGTGAGCAATAATGAGAAATAGTAGATAATATGTGAAATAGTGAGAAATAGCAGATTTTATGTGAAATAGTGAGAAATTGCAGATTATATGTGAAATAGTGAGAAATAGTAGATTATATGTGAAATAGTGAGAAACAGTAGATAGAATGTGAAATAGTGAAAAATAGTAGCAACTGGTGAGAAATAGCGAACAATAATGGGAAATAGTGGATAATATGTGAAATAGTGAGAAATAGTAGATTATATGTGAAATAGTTTATATGTGAAATAGTGAGAAATAGTAGATAATATGTGAAATAGTGTGAAATAGTAGATAATATGTGAAATAGTTAGAAATAGTAGCAACTGATGAGAAATAGTGAACAATAATGGGAAATGGTGAGAAATGGTGAAAAGTAGTGGGAAGTCGTGAAGAATAGTGAACAATAGAGGGAAGTAGTTAGGGTTAAAGTGAAAGATCGAATAATAGTGAGAGATAGTGAATAATAGTGGGACGCAGTTAAAAAAAAAATGGTGAAAAGCGAATAGTAGTAGTAAATAGTAGGACTTGGGGCGAAAGAGTGATAAATAGTGGGGATAAATGAATAATAGTGAATGATAGTAAGAAATAGAGGCAAATAGTGAGAAAGGGTGGAAAGGGGCAGAAAATAGTGAAATATAATAGGAAATAGTTTTAAAAAGTGAGTCAAGAGTTAATATTAGTATTCCCATCAGTGCAGCCCACACAGGACATATTGTCATCCTACTGTGTATGAGCTAATCCTTCACCTGTAACTTTATAAGCAGTGTTCGAAATACCTGCCTGCCCGACCGTCCGAGACGGGTTGATTTCAACTCGGGCTGCCAGATTTTCAAATCCCCCTGCCCGACGGTCGGGTTATATTTCATATGTGAAAACATTCTAAATATTTCCCGATGATAAGCATTAATTCACATGTAAAGATGAATGATAAAATGTAACCAAAAAGAAACCCCGTTAGCTTATCCTGAGAAACATATGATTATAGTGGGCAGGCAGGTTTTGGTCAGGGCTGGCAAATTTTTCAGCTAGCCAGTCCTGTGGTCTGGCTGAATTTTTTGGGAGTTTCATACCCTGCCATAAGCCTAACCACACTCCCATGGTGACGCTGTTCGGAAAACAGGCAATTAACACATGTGTACAACAAGCACCTGCTTGTAATACAGGCGAGACGTATGAACAAGCTGTGTTGTTTGTCACTACGGTGTTTGTCACTACGGTGTTTGTCACTATGTTGTTAGTGACGTTATTCTTCTAACAACCAATCTCTTTAATATACGTATTCCGATTTTTATATTTCCAAATTTGGGGCTAGTCTATCAGGTTTTGAAACGACATTTACAGACTACTATTAAATTATATAATTTCCAGCCGTTTCATTACAATACGCAGATTGACATTATTTTAACATAAAAGTCACCCAACACATGAATAACAATGAATGACCTACTTTCAAATTACGACATAAATTGGTCGCAGAATGATTCTTTGAAAAATAATTTCCTTAACAGCTTAATTTGTAGTTTCCCTGTTCGCATTATGCGAAAGTAATTGGATTTACTCATGCATTCATAAATCTAATGAACGGTTAGAGCGCGCGGTGGGTGAGCACAGTGGATCAAGCGTTCCCTCGTAAGGCCGAATACCGGGGTTTGATTTCCCACATGCGTAAGGGGCGGTCGGGTAGCCTAGTGGTTAAAGCGTTCGCTCGTCACGCCGAAGACCCGGGTTCGATTCCCGACATGGGTACAATGTGTGAAGCCCATTTCTGGTGTCCCCCGCCGTGATATTGCTGGAATATAGCTAAAAGCGGCGTAAAACCATACTCACTCACTCACTCCCACATGCGTACAATTATGAAGCTGACTCCTGGTGCCCCCGCCTTCATATAACAGGAATATGAGTGCACGTTCGTGAGATAGTAGTTGAACATTCCCGGATAACTTTCCTCTTGTGTCTTTTTTGTTAGATTGTTGCTTGGGAACGCGGCGACATTCACACTTGCCATGAGAACGCTTTGAACGCAGCGTCACAGGTGCGTCATACAAGAACTGTATTCATTGCAACGAGCTAGATAGTGGCAATACACCCCATGGAGATACCCGGGCCGAGTTGGTCCCGGATGCACTATCCCCAGGTCGAGAAGGTCCTGAGGACACTATCCCGAAGTTGAGTTGGTCCCGGATGCACTATCCCCAAGTTGACTTGGTCGAAGGTGCACTGTTCCCTGGTCGAGAAGGTCCCGGGTGCACGATCCCAAGGTCGAGTAGGTCCCGGGTGCACTATCTCCATGTCGAGTAGGTCCCGGGTGCACGATCCCAAGGTCGAGTAGGTCCCGGGTGCACTATCTCCATGTCGAGTAGGTCCAGGTGTACTACCCTTATGTCGAGTAGGTCCAGGTGTACTACCCCTATGTCGAGTAGGTCCAGGTGTACTACCCCTATGTCGAGTAGGTCCAGGTGTACTACTCTTATGTCGAGTAGGTCCAGGTGTACTACCCCCATGTCGAGTAGGTCCCGGGTGCACGATCCCAAGGTCGAGTAGGTCCCGGGTGCACTATCTCCATGTCGAGTAGGTCCAGGTGTACTACCCTTATGTCGAGTAGGTCCAGGTGTACTACCCCTATGTCGAGTAGGTCCAGGTGTACTACCCCTATGTCGAGTAGGTCCAGGTGTACTACTCTTATGTCGAGTAGGTCCAGGTGTACTACCCCTATGTCGAGTAGGTCCAGGTGTACTACCCCTATGTCGAGTAGGTCCAGGTGTACTACCCCTATGTCGAGTAGGTCCAGGTGTACTACCCCTATGTCGAGTAGGTCCCGATGCACTTACCCTATGTCGAGTAGGTCCCAAGTACACTATCCACAGATCGACTGGGTCCAGATGAACTACCCCTATGTCGAGAAGGTCCCGGGTACACTATCCACAGGTCGAGTAAGTTCCGGTACACTATCCACAGATCGAGAAGGTCAAGGTTTACTGCCCCTATGTCGTGAAGGTCCCGGGTACACTATCTACAGATCGAGTAGGTCCAGGTGAACTACCCCTATGTCGAGAAGGTACCGGGTACACTATCCACAGGTCGAGTAAGTTCCGGTACACTATCCACAGATCGAGAAGGTCCAGGTTTACTGCCCCTATGTCGTGAAGGTCCCGGGTACACTATCTACAGATCGAGTAGGTCCAGGTGAACTACCCCTATGTCGAGAAGGTACCGGATGCACTATCCACAGGTCGAGTAAGTTCCGGTACACTATCCACAGATCGAGAAGGTCCAGGTTTACTGCCCCTATGTCGTGAAGGTCCCGGGTACACTATCTACAGATCGAGTAGGTCCAGGTGAACTACCCCTATGTCGAGAAGGTACCGGGTATGCTATCCACAGATCGAGTAGGTCCAGGTGCACTACCCCTATGTCGAGAAGGTACCGGGTACACTATCCACGGGTCGAGTAAGTCCCGGTGCACTACCCCTATGTCGAGAAGGTACCGGGTACACTATCCACAGGAAGAGTAGGTCCAGGTGCACTACCCCTATGTCGAGAAGGTACCGGGTACACTATCCACAGGGAGAGTAGGTCCAGGTGCACTACCCCTATGTCGAGAAGGTACCGGGTACACTATCCACAGGAAGAGTAGGTTCCGGTACACTATCCACAGATCGAGAAGGTCCAGGTTTACTGCCCCTATGTCGTGAAGGTCCCGGGTACACTATCTACAGGTCGACTGGGTCCCGCTGCACTACCCCTATGTCGAGTAGGTCCCGGGTACACTATCCACAGCTCGAGTAGGTCCCAGGTACACTATCCCCGGGTCAAGTAGGTCCAGGTTTACTGCCCCTATGTCGAATAGGTCCCGGGTACACTATCTACAGCTCGAGTAGGTCCCAGGTACACTATCCCCGGGCCAAGTAGGTCCAGGTTTACTGCCCCTATGTCGAGTAGGTCCCGGGTACACTATCCACAGGTCGACTGGGTCCCGGTGCACTACCCCTATGTCGAGTAGGTCCCGGTACACTACCCCTATGTCGAGAAGGTCCCGGCTACACTATCCACAGGTGGACTATCTCCAAGCCAAGTACAGGTTTAAAATAACTGATCACATTGTCCACTGAACCCCTTTAATCAGGACAGTGTTCATCGTCCGGATTTACGAATATCCAGAACAACGAAACTTGGTTACGTGGTTAGTGTATTGTATCATCGTCCCTTATGTAGGGTGTCCGCTAGAGTTTTCTATAATCAGTCACTGGAGCCGGTTAACCCTATAATGGACCACGGCATGTGATGTAAACACTCAGCACGGTCTCCCGCCGGACATAACCAGACTGTAAGCGTGACAAAGGACGCTCTAATTTTCCAGGAAAAGAACTTAACATTCGTGTACATTCGGCTACTTGAGGCATGTAATACGTTGATTTACGAGTGACACGTGACAGAGATCAGCTGTTATACAGTGTTACATGAGTTATAAGATTCCCCGGGAACGGGGCTACTTCATTTAATGGCGGTGTGGCAGGTAGCTTGGAACAGAGGAAGTGTTGCGCCGGCAAATGTAAAAAGTTGCTCAAGCTGAAACCTCTCATACCCCGTCACAGGTCGATGGTGGAGGAAGGGAGGTGTATCTTTGGGTAAAGTTGGTTTTGGGGGATCGGAGTGGCAGACGGGACTCCTGACATGATGATATTGATTTAAACAGCTGTTAGTGTATGGCGTTGCGGTTGTACTTAGCGTGGGTTGGGTGGTGGTGCTGACGGTTGAGGGATTGTGTGGGTGATAGGTGGTAGGGTGGGGGATGGTGGGGGGAGGGAGGTAGATAGGTGGTAGGGTGGGGGATTGTGTGGGTAGGGATGGTGGGGGGATGGGGGGCAGAGTGTGTGGGTAGGGGTGGTGG